GGGGGGCGCCTGGCGACCCGGCCGGGGGCCGGCGGAGGAGCAGGACCGGGCCGGAGGGCTCGGAGGCGGCGCAGGCGGCCAGGAGCCGGAGAGGAGCAGCTGCCACCGCCGCCCCGGCAGCCCCGCGGCCGCACTGGCGCGCACGGCGAGGGCGCGGCTCCCGGCAGCGGGGACGCGCCTCCTCCCGCAGCCCCCGCCCCGCCGCGCTGGCACCGCCCCGTCTCCCAGGAACCCGCGGGCGGCCTCCCCGCGCCCCCTCCGGCCCGGCCCCTCTCCCGGCGGGGACCCAGGCCCTCCTCCGCTGTCCCCCCGCAGCACAGCCCCGAGGCGCAGGCCCGGAGCGCGCTCGGGAGCCGGGAGCCGGGAGCCGGGAGCCGGGAGCCGGGGGCGGGGGCCCATCCTGGATGCTGACCTGAGGCTGGGGGGGCAGGGGGTGGCAGGGAGGGGATGGGAGTGTCGGGTTTCTCCTGGGGACGGAGAATGGCAGCTCCCCACCTGGGAGCCCCCTCTCCTGCTGACGACGACCAGACCCCCACTGCTGTCTGGGGCCCTCAAAGCCACCACAGCCACTACCTGTCCCCTCCAGGCCTCCAGCCTCTCAGCTAGGCGACCTGGGCCTGTGTGCCAACTGCTGATCTCCTTCCCCTGGGAATTGGCCAACGCCACCTGGCCACAGGCTCCCCGGGCACCCTCCCACACTGGTGTCTCTCCCTTCCCTCCCAGGACACCGGGACAGCCCTCACCAATACCTTGTACTTCCCGGAGCCCTGGCCCTGGCCTCACCTGGCTGCCACCCCACAGGAGAAAACCACCCACTCAGGCCACCCTCCTCGCGGCCAGCCTGCACTTGGAGAGACCTACCTGGCAGGCAGCGCTTGATCAAAGACCCCTCACCAAAGCCACAACACCTAAGACTCCTGAAGAAGGGGGTTTCACCAGGTAACCACAAGGCTGCTCTCTGTGCCGTCCGGTTCCTGCTCGGGACCTCCTGAGCAGGCCACCCTGCCAGTGAGCACCAGGTTTGGGGGCGCCTCGGTGAGGCAGTGGCCCTGGCCTCATCAGTCTGGCCAGAGCTCTGGCCAAGAGACCGAGCCCTCTCCAACGGGCCTCCCCTGGGTTGCTTCAGGGTTCACAGCTCACTCTATGACCTCAGAACAAGTCAGGGATAAAGGGGACCCTGGGTTTGTGCCTGCTGCACCTGAGACCTCAGGTCTTGGCTGCAGGGCAGGGAGCAGCACTCTCTTGGGGCCCAGGGGTAAGTGCTCCCCGGAATCTCTCCCATCAGGCCGAGCTTGGCCCAAGCTGAGCTGAGGAGAGCACCCCCTTGGGCTCATCCGCATGCCAGCCAGCTGGGCATCGGTGGGGCGTGAATGCCTGAGGCTCTGCACAGCCCTCCCATCCACCCTCCCCTGGGGCCTGGGGCAGCTGAGGGGGCCTCTCCAGTGTCCACAGGGAACGACCTGGAACAACACGAGGGGGTACAGCTCAGGGACCCTCTCTGCTGTGTTCCCTGCAAAGACACGCCTCAGGTCTGCCCATCCTCCCCCCTGGGACCCCCTCCCCCCAGGCAAAGGGGGCACCAACTCCTAGCTGGGCTGGAACATCGGGCAGGACCCTCCAACTGAGCGAGCCCACGGGGGCTCACAGTGACCCGGGCCCAGTCTCAGCTCAGGCCCCATAAATCCTGGGGCTGAAAAGACAGAATGGGAAGGGGCAGAGGGCTCGGCTGATGCCCCCTGACCCAGCCACTTCCCGCCAAGCCTGGTAGCCATGTCCAAAGTCACGGGCGCCATCGGCCTGGCATCCCAGCTCCTCAGTCCCCCTCCAGCTTGTGGCCCGCCACTTGCAGTAACTCTGGGTCCCAGCGCCCTTCCCCCTGGCCCCACCCTCTTTCAAGGCCAACTCAGGCCTCCCTCCAGGAAGCGTTCCCAGGCCCCCCCCCCCCC